CTTTTAAAAAGTAACTTTCCATTCCCTGCCATTACGTGATTTACGTGTTTTAATTACATGATTTCATCATATAACATTGTGACATGATTTTTTTCGATAAAGACCAGTGCTGACTTCTGTTAACAAACAAAAACATTCTATTTTCTCTTCTATTTTTTTATAATACCTATTACTATTTCAAAAAAATAAAATTGGTTAAAATGATAAGAAATGTGAACAACTAATACTATAATACTATAATACAGCTACTATTATATTATACGATCGAATATGCTTACAATAAGAATAAAGTGTTATTTGCAAATTTCATCATTATCTTGTATGTATCATTGTATGCAGGGAATGGAAGTAACTTCACACATAGCAATGTATTTCCGTAGGCTATCCTAATTTGATCAGATTGATCTCATTCTGATCCAAAACATTAAATCGTCCATATGATTAGTTCAGAATATTTGTAATTATCATTGTACTAATATAAAACGTCCATAAGATATCCTATTGTATTTTGATCAAAAAAATTTTGATCACTATATGCGATAAATTGCATTTTTCAACTTTCGATATATATATGCCATATACATGTTATATTTACGTATTTTACACACATTATACAGATATATCTTTGCCATTTAATTGTTAATTTTTTAAATGTATATACAGTGTGTCCCGAAAGTTTTTGCCAATCGCTTTTGTGTAGATAGAACTAAATTGAGTCGAAAAGTCCTCCACCATTTTGCAATTTTCACAATAGTTAACAAGATATTAATTACTAAAAATTGCAAAATATTAGTTTTGAATAATTTTTTACTCAAATACTATCAACTTTACAGAAAAACTGCAAGAAACAAAAATCATTTATTTTCTTCTCATAAAGTTCTGAGAAATTTTTCAAAATTTTTTAGTACTGCATTTTCTTATTTTTACCAATATAAAAAAATACAATATTAAAAAATTTTGAAAAAATTCTGAAAAAATTCTTAGAACTTTATGAGAAGAAAATTAATGATTTTTGGCTCTTGCAGCTTTTCTATAAAGTTCATAGTATTTTAGTAAAAAATTATTCAAGATCAATATTTGGCAATTTTTAGTAATTAATATCTT